CGAGTTAAAGTCAACGTTTTGTCTTAACGTAATTTTGATATTACTCTAAATTAATAGAAATACTTATTCAATGCAATCAAAAGGCAATGATTTAATTCATTTCCTAACAATTTAATAAACATTATCTCAAATATATTTATAAATTTTCATTCTTTTATTCATTGATCGGAACTTAAAATTGTTAACTTTCTACAAAATTTGGTGAATATTTATATTAAATAAAATTGTCAAATATTGTGTATTTCTGTTGACAATAAAATAAATTAAATGCTTTAATAAAATACGACTGACACAGAATGTTTATCATGATCAATACGATTTAAACCATGTTGTTACATGGAATTGTAGCATTTTAATTTTAGTTTGACATAACATCACTGCCTCTATTGTTGTGTCGCTTTTCTAATGCTGTGATTCCTGTTTACAAACCCTTCCGGTGTTTTCAATCAGATATGAGAGTAACGATTGAGAGCTTACTTTTTGGCCCTAAACTACACTAACAACACATTACACTACAGTATAACACATATTCTGTGTGCGTTTGGAACCTAGTTGTAAAAATCTCAAACAAGTGGTTCGCCAACAAAAAATATTTTTTAAATGTTATCGATTGTTTATTTTTAATCAAAACATATTTGTTAAAGCGTTATAATTATTGAGCGATTAATTATATAATTTGTTATCTGATATTTGATATCATAATACTGTTTAATTTTTAGTCCTATTATATTATATAATATAACACAATATATCATACGATAATTAAAAGTATTTTTAGCATTTTTCCTTATTCTGTATAAAACACTGAAATTTTAGTAAAAATTGCTTTTATTAGCGTTTAACTCGAGGAATAAAATTACATTAATTTGGCAATTATTAATTATTATTAAATAACATTGTATCAAAACATCATAAAGTTTTCATAAAATGGTTTATGTGAAAAAAATATTAATATTTAAAATAATTTTCAAATGGATGTAGTTATAACTTATAAGTCAGACATAACTATAATTTTATAGGTTTATTATTATTGAAAATTCTTGCAAACATTGTTATTAACGAAATATTTTATTGGTGTTTGTTTTGTGTCTTATGTATTGAAGAGATGAGTGACACATGATTTTGATCATAAATGACACAATAAAAGGGTAAAGGGTTGGAAGTATTTCGTATAGTTTTTAAATCATAATTGTTTGTTAATGGTTGTTTATTTGTCCAAACAATTATTGGTGGTTTGGATTTTAAGGGCAAAGGGTATAGAAATAGTTTACTTTTCCAACACTTCTGGAATTGAAAGTTATAAAGTCATGAACAGTATGTAAAACATACACAATTCAGGATCAGTACATGTATGAGCCGGTAGTTTACATATTTTCAATGATAGTCAATGTAAAATTCCTTTGATATGGTTCATCATATTGGCCCTGATTATTTTACTCCCAATACTAGTCATGTATAATGGGATATAATTTAATAAATAAATGTAAAATAAAATATTCCAAATTACCAAGAATTATATTTTTAAAATAGAAAACATCCACGAGTTATTATTTATTATTTTATAAATTATATACACTAATTAACAAACAAATATTGACACAAACATGTAAGTTAAATGTCATCATCAGTTTTATGACTTTATTATTGTATACATGGTATTAATGGCCATTAATGTAAATCACATCAGATTGTATGGCACCTTATATTGTAGACTAACCTTTGAAGTGAAATGTTAATTAAATACATTAAATTCATCTATAAATGTCAATTATTGCCAGTTTATGAAAATATGGTAAATGTATAAGAATAATCTTAACAACCCCCCTGTATAACATCAAAAATAAAGGGCAAATATTTCATTGTAATTGTCATAAACTTTAAACCAAATACTGATAAAAAAGCAATAAAGTATAAAATCACATAATTAAGCCATTAATTGTATTATTAAATTATAAAAGTGTTATCACTTTTCAAACATTACCACAACACATGCTTTTAAGCAAAATTATACTCCATTTATAAGTTATTAATATCTGAGTTTTAAATTAAGATTTCAGTTGTTTTTTTTGACAAGAATTGCATTTTTGAATTTCAAACTGTATTAATTATTGTTATTTATTTTGTAATTAATCAAAATATATTTAACACGATTTATGTTTCGCAATCATTATAAATGGATAATAAAATACTCAATGAAATGCAAAATGAATTCATTAATAATAACGGAAAAAAGGAAAACAAATTTAATGTATCGGTGATAGAGTTGAGGGACGACTTCATAGCTCCGCCGCCTGTGAGTGGGGGTCGGCGTAGAAGTAATGCATTTTCCTTTTCAGAGGAGAGCAAAGATGTGGACGAAAGCGACGAATGTATGGATTTAGACAAATACGAGTCACTCATCACTACTGAAGTACAAGTACTCAAACGGAAAGACTTTGTCTCAGAATTTCGGCCTCAAAGGGATGTCCAGCTATTTGTGTCCGACTCTTGTGTTTTGCTCGACTGTCGAGAATTCAATTTACAATCAATTATTGATCAAATGTTTTCCGTAAGTCATATCATATGACTCATATAAAACCACATAATATATTACATAATGTTGTCAACTCATCCAACTTTTATTTTTTACGAAATGAGATTTGACTCAATCTTTTGAAAACTATTTTGTGGATAAATAATTTTATTACTTACTTAAATAGGCCCAAATTAACTTGATACAATTTAATATGAAACCTTGTTAAAATTATTATTTTCAAACTCCGTTAGCTAAGTATTTTATGCATTTAATTTTTACAATAGCATGACATTTGTATTGTTTTATTTCTTAATGCATTATCTGTTAAGTAAATTAATCAATTTGCTAAGAATATGATCAAGTTCAATTGAGAAAAGTAAAATGATGAATGTAAAAAATCAATCCCTACGATTCCTTGAAATTCCTGTCAATACATGTGATTTTGGAAATACTATATGATATATGAATACTTTGTCTCAGAATTTCGGCCTCAAAGGGATGTCCAGCTATTTGTGTCCGACTCTTGTGTTTTGCTCGACTGTCGAGAATTCAATTTACAATCAATTATTGATCAAATGTTTTCCGTAAGTCATATTATATGACTCATATAAAACCACATAATATATTACATAATGTTGTCAACTCATCCAACTTTTATTTTTTACGAAATGAGATTTGACTCAATTTTTTGAAAACTATTTTGTGGAGAAATAACTTTATTACTTACTTAAATAGGCCCAAATTAACTTGATACAATCTAATATGAAACCTTGTTAAAATTATTATTTTCAAATTCCGTTAGCTAAGTATTTTATGCATTTAATTTTCACAATAGCATGACATTTGTATTGTTTTATTTCTTAATGCATTATCTGTTAAGTAAATTAATCCATTTGCTAAGAATATGATCAAGTTCAATTGAGAAAAGTAAAATGATGAATGTAAAAAATCAATCCCTACGATTCCTTGAAATTCCTGTCAATACATGTGATTTTGGAAATACTATATGATATATGAAACTGAGTTATTTCGACCGCACACTCAATGAGTGAATAAAAAGTTTTTGATTAGATTTACATAAATTTATTTAATTTATATATTCAGTGACGGAAAAAACGGAGGCATTGTATATGTGTAGTGAGAAATTAGATTAACATTTCTATAAATATAACAACACTTAGGCTAATGTCATGTCATTCCGACGAATAGGGCATTCATTTCACTCTTGAATAACATTTATTTCATTATTAGATCACAAACTTTTTACTGCGAATTGTTGTTAAGAAACATTTATTTTATTGTTTTATTTTCTAGTGTTTTATGGGTTAAAAACATTGCCAAAAAATAGTCTCATTTTTCTGTCCAATAGTTACGGATGTTTTAAAAGAGCATTTAATAGTATTTTAGTTTAGATTATCTTACAATAGGATAGCGACTAAAGTGAAACGATTATTGATATTTGATCTCAAATACAGTCAAAAAGCTATAAAAAAAACTATGGATTCTTCTACTTATTTATCAATAAATATGAAAACAATCGCAAAGACAGTAAAAATTGTCGATAAAAAAGTTTGTCATTGAGATTCAAATATCTCAAATACAGTCAAAAAGCTATAAAAACTATGGATTCTTCTACTTATTTATCAATAAATATGAAAACAATCGCAAAGACAGTAAAAATTGTCGATAAAAAAGTTTGTCATTGAGATTCAAATGCATTGTCAGTGAAAATTTTTGTTACATAAGTTTTAAAGCGGCTAAAAATAGTAGCATTATATTAAAGTAATTGCAAAACGATTGCAAATTCTGTGATTGAAAATCACAACAAATATAATATCAATTTTTGTATTAATAATATTTCAATGCATGTGTGAATTGTTTGTGCTGTCATTTATAGACAAATTAGTAGATTTTATTTAATTTTGATTAATTTTGTTATCAGAAAAAATAAATTGTTTTTGTATTATTTGACGTCAAATCTCTTTTATATATGAAATGAATTACTCTTCTCTTCAGTTTTCAATATTTTTCTATTTTAAGTTAAATTAGTTTTTTATTTTCATTCATTGATTTCTGTTTTCTATATTTAGCTCATAACAGATAAGGAAAGCGTTGATAACATAAATGATGCGAAAGAGGCTCTCTTTGCTGAAGGGAATCAACTCTTGAAAAATACAATTCAAGGCATATATCTGTCATCGGATGAACACTACGAGTACAACCAGTCCTGGCTCTGCACTCAGTAAAACCACTTATAACTTTAGGCGACATTAATATTAAACAATAGGTTTATATTTCCTTAAAATTTGCAATTAGTTGTTCAGTGCCTTCGCTGTCCAAACGGCGCGTATGTATCGCCAGATTAACACATCCGACAAATCTGGGCATTACTTCACACGATATAACATTTGTGATCGTTGTGTTAACTCCAGTCAATGAGGTATACATTATTGTGTGTTTTGCTTGTATTTTGCCGACACATTCAAAATATCTCAATCATTAAATTCAATTGAGAATACATTGCATAACACATAAAGTAATGCCAATAATTCTGTAATTTATAAATAATTTTAATGGTTTGCATAGAAAGAGACAAAAAATGCCAAAGAGCTCAGCCGTACGTTCGCTACCATTTTTGCTGACCTCAACTTCAGACAAAAGCTCATGAATGCCACAAATAAACAACAATTCATTGAATTAATTGAGAAAAGAGCCCATTATTTGTCTGAAAACGCATTTTTAAAGACAGATTTTGTGCGACAATTCAGTGAAAAAGAGGTTTTCAATCAATATTCATTTAAACAACTTTTTTCTCTTAATTAAGAAAACATTTTCATATTATTTGTTAATTTATAGCCAAAACTTGGGTTCACTTTCGGAAAGGGAATCGTCGAGAATCTGAGGCGAAGAACTCAATACTATTGGAGTGATTATGTCGACGGTCTGTCCCATTATGTTATGTTTTGATGCATTTTCTAAACACTTTTTTGTGTAATAAACTTAAATTTCTCTCAAAAAATTCTTTGAAAGTATCGACAAAATAACAAAAAACATAAATGTATTTCAAGAATAGTTTTATCGCAAACACTATTGAATGCTCTGAACTAATGTCTCACTATTTGTGTCGAGACTTTTAACATAAATTTTTACCAATGCTTTTAGTGGATATGAATCCTTAAAAATACAAAATATATTTCATTTGAACGATATTTTCAGTCATACTTTTTATACTCCTATATATTTTTATGTCTAATTTATTGATCAAATCATAGAAGAGTGTGCTTTTTGTTTAAATTACTATTTGCCGTAAACTTATTGATCGAGTGTCTGATAATGCCATTGAAATGACAGGTTTTACGGGTCCGAAGACTATACATAAGACACTGTCGGCCACAATATCGCTATACTTTGCGTGTATTCTTCCGTGTATTGCGTTCGGAGTGTTGGACGACAAGAACACTGACGGCAAGATTGACACCAGACGTGCTCTCGTCGGCCAAACTATCGGCGGTTTTGTGTTCGCACTGTTTGGCGGACAGCCTCTGGTCCTCATTATGACAACCGCTCCGTTATGTCTCTACACGAAAGTGGTTTACGACATCTCCGGTGACTTCGGTGTCGATTTTTACGATATGTTTGCCTGCGTTGGGCTCTGGAATGCATTGTTTGTTGTGTTGTACGCCCTCTTTGACGTGTCTGTCCTCATGAGATGGTGTACCAGATCTACCGAAGAGATATTCTCATTGTTCATATTCTTCGCATTCAGCGTCGATGCCATTAAAGACTGCGTGAAGAGTAAGTGTACAGCAAAAAGTGACTTTCGGATTGAATTCAAACCATTCATTCATTTAGTTATCCCTAAATAAATGTAGATAAAGATTTATATTAAATGATATATTATATAAACTATTAATAAAATTACTAACAAAACAATTGTCTGAACCATAGATTTCAATGCCCACTATTGTGTGAGTGAATGCAATATTACTCCTAATAATGAAGCGATGAATAGCACTCGTGAATGCGCTCAACAGAACAGTGTATTATTTTTATTCCTAATGTTGGCAACGGTATGGTTAGCCCTCTTTCTCTATAACTTCAACAAAACGTGAGTTTTTGGGGATTATTGACAGAAAAAAACACACATAAGATATATATATTATTTCTTTCTAAGAATATATTGAGTATTAGAAATAACAAAAAAATCATTATTTTGCTGTCTATTAATAAAATGGTCGATTTGTTAGGCCCTACTTGAATGGCAATAAGCGAGAAATGTTGACCGATTATGCCCTCCCACTCGCCGTCATTACATTCAGTTTTGTCGGCTCTTTCCTCTTCAGTGACATCAAAGGTACAGAATATCTGATAATTTATATCTTAATTCTTGATCGCAAACGCAAAACAAATACCAAAAAAGCAATTGTTTATTGCTTTAAATTAGACAAACAATTAATATAAATTACTGTATATATACACCATATATAAAGTATATCAAAGCATTAATACATTTGTTGTATCCACTGTTTTGTCACCACAACTACACAACAATAACAGCCGAACCCTTCAAATTCAGCGCTGGCTTCGAGTTTGAGAGGCCATCGTTCAGGAGTCTAACGGTTGGGTCGGTATTCGTGTCGATGGTTCTGGGCTTTGCTCTATCGTTGCTCTTCTATATGGATCAGAACATATCCGCAGCGATGGTTAATAATCCCAATAATAAGCTAAAGAAGGGCAGTGCATACCATTGGGATCTAATGGTTGTGGGAATACTGAACGCATTTCTGTCTGTAATGGGCTTTCCATGGATGCACGGAATCCTCCCTCACTCTCCCCTTCACGCCCGCAGTTTGGCTGACGTCGAGCGCCGCTCACACGAGGGCTGCGTTCGGGACGTCGTTATCAACGCCCGCGAGACCCGAGTCACTGGACTCGCAATCCACGCGTTAATTGGATTATCACTACTCCTAATACCGCATCCACTCGACTATATTCCCACATCAGTGCTGAACGGACTCTTCCTCTACTGTGCCATCGCTTCCCTCCGAGAGAACTCATTCTTCGACCGAATTCTGCTCTTCATTACCGAACAAGTAATATATAATATATTATTGGAAAACAACAAAATAACTATAAATGTTAACCAAAAAGATATCATTAATAAAATTATTATTTGATGAGATTTTTTTTCTTCGCAAACATTTATAAATCACATCTAATATTGTGTTTTTTTCTTGTATTTTCGTTGTGCAAAACTCTAGTCTTCTTATCCGCCAAATCATTACGTCCGTCGATGTCCTCAGAGAAAGATCCATATCTTTACTTTTGTCCAATTAATTCAATTGGCAGTCCTGTGCTTCTTTGGATTCGCCCCCTGGGCTTACGTTCAAATGGCATTCCCTATCATTATAGCTATACTAATACCTATAAGGTATGCCTTTATTCGCACAAATTTGCTTTTGAGATCATATATAAAAATAAATGGGTTTCTCTTTTTTGTTTATATTAACTCTGATTTCAGACTTCAATTGGGTTTCTAAGAAATTTCTCTGAAAAAACTCTGTTTTTGTCGATTCATTAAATTTTTGTTTGCCTTTAAAACAGATCCAAAATTATGCCATTGTTTCTGGAAAACAAATATATCGATGCAATTGATGGCTACCATTAAGAAGAAAATTAGGGTTAGATCTGAGCTGTGTTTCGGTTGAGACTAATCTATTGTCTAACATATATTTATTAAACTAATTGTTTTTATTGTTTCTTGTAATGGGTTTTTTGAGTTTATAAATTGAATAAATTTGTTATTAAAGTAAATTAAAGTGATTAAATTTATACTATTTTATAGTAATGTTATTTCTAGTTAAATAATATTTGTTAATATACTTTAATTTGAATATAAAATAAAACTGAATTTACAAATTTAATATATTACTGATTATATTGAATTCGGTAAACAAAATCTCAATTTGCATCTTTAATAAATAAAGCAAAGCATCTATAAAGAAAATTTTTATTATATACAATTAACATTTAACTTTTAATTAAACTATTAAAATCTTCTTGAATTTAAAATTATATGACATTTATTGCATATTTTGTTGTTTTTAAATGGATTTATGCAATCATTTTATAGAAATGTGTAATTAGTAACAGATTTAACAAATAAACCAAACTTTTCAATAAAATTCAAATAAACCTCTTATGGAAGATAATAACAATACATACAATAAAACATAAGAATAAAAGTTGTTTTTGATTTTATATCGATTTTTAATTTTGATATACAGTACAGACCATTAATTTGAAAGCGAATTGTAGTGAAATATTTTACGGGTAATAACTCTAATACGAGTTCATTGTGTTTTCTGTCGTGTATTTCCTGCAATTATAGCCTCAAAATAGTCACACATTTCTTTCGTCCCAAATATTCGTTTCAATTTTTATATCGTTTTCGTTTAAATAGAGACAGCAATAGAAGAGAGGAATACGGGTTGTGTTTGTGTCTCTTCTCAGACTATTCTCGTCTTATGTTAGGATATTGTATAGAAAGCAGTGGTTGTGAAACGTTTGATATACTGTTGTGCTCTCGCCTTCACTTTCATACCATTTCGCTTCACCGCCTCTTTGTTTGACTCTTTTCTCATGAAAAAAGTCTAAAAACCAGCGAAAGATAGTTAGAAAGAGAGGGATGGATAGAGGGATAGACGGTCGGAGAGAGAGAGAGAGAGAGAGAGAGAGAGAGAGGTCTAGAATTTCATATTATTGTTTTGTTTGAAGAAAAATAGACGCAAAACACATCTGCACTGTATATCTAACAAAAAGAGTACTAAAAATATATATATTATACAAAGAGAGAGAATTTTCTCTTCTTTTTTAGAAATAAAAATACTGTTAATATTAAAGGAAAAGAATAGAAGAGCTATAATGAAAATATAGAGAAAATTTGATAAAAAACTTTTAAAACAACTATAATATTCTTTTTAAAACAAAATTTATTATTTTATTTTTGCCTATTTTTCAATTCTTTATACCAAACATGAATAGAAATAATATTAGATATAAAATTCGTTGCACTAAACAACACAACATTTGTATGAATGCCTCACTCTTACTGAGTTGAACCCACAATACAATACATCTTTGGCTCTCTCTCTCTCTCTCTCTCTCTCTCTCCATCTCTCCCTCTCCTGTCTCTCGCTTCTCTAACTCACAAAATATAAAAAGAAATATTTCTTCGAAAGCAATAATTTAGATGAGACTTAAAGTTTTTTGAAGCCTTAAATTGAAACAAGAATTATTAGAGAAAACATTTATAATAACATATTTATAACTGTACTGTTCTTATAGTAGTTTTATATAACTTGTAAAATATAGTGAAATTTTTCATATTTTCAAATCAATAAATTCTGAACTGCGATAATATATAACTTATAATATACTATAAATTTGACATCATATACAGTACTGTATACTATAAATTGGCTGAGAATTAATTATTTATTTAAATTATTAAATACTAGAATATCTGTATTCATATAATTCAAGTCGATTAATATTAATTAATGCCAATAAAATATTTCAAACACGAAATTAACTGAAAATAGCATTACTTTTGATAAAAGTGAACAATTAGTTTGATTTGAACAGAATTCACAATTCATTTGAATAATAAATATCTCATTCATTAAAGTATTGAAGTAAATGTTAGATTAAAATATGGGAATTATAAATACAGTAGTTTTTGGTTGCAAAACTATATTTCTTTTTTATTGTTTAAAAAAATTATATTTTTATAATTGAAAGTCAAAAACATACGAAAGAGAATTTAATTTGTGTAATAATAACATAAAGCCGACGGTCTTTCGACTCGATTCTGTGTTTTTGTCATGAATTACATATTTTGAAGACAAATGGATTCAAAGATTTGCATTTTTAAAAATATATAAATGTATTAAACATTTATGAATAATACCTAAAACTAATGCATAAAAACAACATTAGGCTGAATAAACGGGAGAATGACATGAGCTCGAAATCAAAATTTCGAAAGATATCAGATCGAAAGTGAGTAAATTGATGTTACAGCATGTTTAATATGAGATATTACCTTAATTACTAAATTTAATAGAGCTCTAAATACATCAAACATAAGAAATAAAGAATTAGATGAACAAAAATTACAAAATATTATTAATTCACGCAATAATCTCACTTTATATAATTATCTTAATGAAATTGCTCATTGGTTTAACTTTTAATTACGATATAAAACTGTTTTTGTGTTGTATTAAAAACTTAAAATATAGAACTAAAATGTGTAACTAAAAATACTCTATTAAAATAATATATTTTCAATTTATAACTTTTTAAATGTTGTGTTTTTCTAGATTTTGACTTTCGAGCTCATGTCTACGTCCCGAATAAACAACAATATATTTTAAATATAATGTCATTGCAAGATATAAAGATATTACATAGTATATTAAGTTAGTTAATATTGAATATTTACTGGCATTCAATTGTTATTATAGTTTCGGCATTGATTTTAATTTAATAAAATTGCAAATATTTAATAAACGAGTTAAACAACTGATTAATAAAACATTAAGAAATTTATTGACCAATTGGTTGCGTGTTTAGAGAGAGAGAGAGAGAGAGAGAGAGAGAGAGAGGTCTAGAATTTCATATTATTGTTTTGTTTGAAGAAAAATAGACGCAAAACACATCTGCACTGTATATCTAAAAAAAGAGTACTAAAAATATATATATT